ACAGGCAACAAACGGTACTTTTACTGCCCAGGCAAATTGGTAATCAAAATTGACAGTAACGTTGGGTGAACACAAAATGATGGATTATTTGGAGTTTGCATGAAATTGGATGAATTTGAAGAAACAATTATATGTTTCACACGGCAGAAAAGCAGATTCAATCCCTTGGCTGGCTTCTGCGGCATTAAATCTTGTGCTTTTCTGCCTAGTAAAAGAAAATAACTATTGTTTTACTCCAAATTCTTTTCAATCTCACTCCAAATCCAAATAATCCATCATTTTTTGTTCACCCAAAGTCATTGTCAAATTTGATTACCAATTTGATTCAAATTACTTGGAACGTTGCATAGCAACAAACTTTTTCTGCCTAGGCAGTAAAAGTACACCTTTTCTGCCTGTGGAGTATTATTAAAAATCCACTCTTAATATCATTTGGAGAAGAAAATATTTTTAAATATAATGGTAAATAGAGTCTATAACCCCTTAAACATATCTGGGTATTCGAGTGATGATGAAAACATTTTGATTTAAATATCAGAGCATATTTAAAGACAAAGCTAACTGAATCACTCAATTCTTTAGATAAATATGCAGGGTGTTTCCTAACTACTATGCCAAAATTCAGGTTGTGATTCGTTAGATCGTTTTGAGAAGATAGCTTCTATATAATTCGTAGATTTCAACAATGCTTTCACTTACGAGTCTTAATTTCCCAAAACCCTGTATAAACAACTTACTGATATTTGCATTTCGGTTTCATTGACAAGTGGATTGAATTTCGAGCATGGTTTATTCTTCAATTTGTTCAGTAACACTTCAAACCTTGGTAATAAATCGTTGCAAGTGTTTTTTAAATCGCTACTATCATCACATACTTTTGTATAGTCTTCGATTTCACTAGGTAACCATTTGGCAATGATTTGAATATTTATTGACATCAGAGAATGAGCTGCAAATTTGCAAGAAAATTAAATTGACTTATGTATTCATTAGCAGCAGTTATTGTTTTCAGAAAATTCAATATTGAAAGCACTATCATAGGTGTGGCTGATTGCTACGAAAAATGTATTCGTCTTGTTGACCTGGTTGTCATAACTACCTATGTCATAATTGATCAAATAGACTAGTTCGATATAACCGCATATTTTCTTTATTTTCAAATAAACTTAGGATTTGGGAAAACTGATCTTCTAAATTTAGAGAAAATGAAGATTGAATGTTTCCTTGATAGCAGATCAATCCAACTGAACTCCAATTAAAACATCGACTTTGACATACTCGAGATGAGTATAAACTTGAATGAAAATAAGGCGCAATAAGTATTCTATTGAAATTATTGAAGTTAAGTGAGCCTTAAATTCACAGTTATATCTATGAATTTGGGTGTTTCATTCAAAGCATCTGAGTAAGCATTGTTAAACATACCTTCTGGTCCAATTTTTCGGTTCAGCATCCCTTGGTGTTAGTTTCAAGTAATCCTTACCTTTAGAGACTTTTGGTTTAGGATAACTCAATAGGTAATTGTAATAGGTTTTTTCCACCTTGAATAAACTGTTTAATAGTTGAAATAAAGAACTGAGACTTTTTGGATATCAAGATTGACTGAGATAAATGTTTGTTTTGTAACGTTAATGAAAAAAACATATCAATGAATATTGAATCTGTCAATCAGTTTATAATTTCACTTTCTTTACTCTGCATTTCTTCTATTAAAACAACAGGTTATGGGCCCAGTAACCTCATCTGTGTTGTAAATTACGAAGTATTAACTGAAATTGCCAAAGAAAGAGCAGAAGGCACATAGATATTCTTCCAAGTGGATATTCGAAGTAAATATGAGTCAATCCACATACAGGATTCAGCTGCTGACCAAGGACAATTTCGACACGTGGAAAATCCAAGTGAAAGCTGTATTGGTGAGAAGCGACGAGTGGGGATACGTAGATGGAACTATTAAGCAACCCGCTGATATAGCTACTGCTGTAGACTGGAGAAAGGGTGATGCGAATGCTATGTCGGATTTAATTCTAGCAATAGGCCCTTCCGAACTCAGGCATATAAAGAATTATATAACTGCGAAAGAAATTTGGGATAAACTCCATGATGTGTACTAGTCACACGGTCCAGCAAGAAAGGCAATGTTATTGAAGACACTCATTTATCATAAAATGCAAAAATGCAACGATATGAGAGAGCACCTTGCCAACTTATTTGAAATAATATACAAGCTAGAAGAGATGAACTTGAAAATCAACGAAGAATTAGTTACTATCTTACCTTTGTACAGTATCCCAGAATCTTATGAATCATTCAGAATTGCTATTGAAACTCGAGAAACTTTACCTTCACCAGAAGCCCTGCTGTAAATAAAATTGATGGAAATCAAATATACCTTTCATTGGTGTGGACAATTTGGACACCGAAATAGAGACTGCAGATTGAAGACGTGGAATAAAAAGCCAATTGTAGAATCAAGGGGAGAAACTTCAAAACTTGCCGTACCGGACGAAATTGCCATGAAGATAGGAATGAAATGGCGAAAACTCTCTACAGAAATCTTGTTGGAAAATTAATGTATCTTGCACTTTCAACCAGACCAGATATTGCTTAGGCTGTGAGTGTTTTGAGTCAATTCAATCAAAATTACGGACGGGAGCATTGGCAGCAAAGCGTGTTTTACGATATTTGAAGAAAACACAAAATTAAATATATATATAAAATGAAATATATATATAATATAAATAGCCAACCATTGGTTGGATATGCTGATGCAGATTGGGGTGCTGATTTGGACAACAGAAGATCCTAGATATTTACATTATGGCAAGTGCTGCGAGAAGTTGGTCATCTCGTAAACAAAAAACATTGGCATTATCAAGCATAGAAGCAGAGTATATGGCTCTTACAGTAGCATCAAAATGAGCTATTTAATTAAGAAGATTCTTGAATGAAATAGTTGGTGAGCTGGTAACCACAACTGTTTTCAGTGATAATCAAGGTGCTGGATACATGGTGAAGAATCCAGTTTTTCATGGAAGAACCAAGCATGTGGACATCAGGCACCATTTTATCAGAGAAGTTGTCCAGCAGAAAGAAATTCAGGTTACATCCTGAATAAACAAACCTACAGGATTAGAAGCCAATTTGAAGGGGCGTGTTGGATATCAAGATTGGCTGAGATGGATATTTTGTTTTGTAACGTTAGTGAAAAAAATAACAAGTTGAATATTGAATCTGTCAATCAGTTTGTAATATAATTTCACTTCCTTCACTCCGCATTTTTTCTAATAAAACAACAGACTTCACACAGCATCGTTGAAGATAACGAGGTTTATAAATAAGGTAAAGAACTGGACCTAGTACGGAACTGAGGAGCATCACCACAACTTACCTCATCTGATTGATTTGTAATCTCTTTTATGAATGTATTAGATATTAGAGTGGGTTTTTTGAAGACACGTAAACAATGAAGGTACTCAAATTAAATTTAATAAAAAAATCACATTATATAGTAAGTACAAAAATTGTATGGAAAATGGAATGTATAGGATTGCACAGTCTAAAAATATATATTAAGTACACAGTACGATCAAAGAACACAAAATAATATTCGCTAAAAATATCCTAAATACTGAGATCTTATAATAAAATATTCTTAGTACAGAATTCTCTTGACACTGATTTTGATTTTATACAAACTATCTTTACCAATATAATGAAAAGCTTTCAGGCACGAGATTTTTACTTTTACACACTTTACACAAAAATATCAAATTGTCTTAGTTCTAAATAATAAATATGAGTCATAAATTATTTCCAAAAAAAAAAGTCTTTTATCCTCTGATGGCTAAATATGAAACATCTATCCAGTAAATACTCTTATGTCATGGCGTTTCTCCAAAATGATAAAAAATCTATGAAATTAAATCGTTCAGATTTTTCTATAATTAAAATAATACAACTGAAGTTTGAGCAAATGGCGTATTTTTGTAAATGGCACTGAACTTTCTAAAAAATATATTTGTAGACCTTTTATCATTCTGTGGAACAAATATTACTTATATTATATGGATATAATAAAGCTCCATTGTGGTGAGTTCTATAATACGACAGGAGCTAACAATTTGTCTATGGATAAAGTTGGATTATTGAGTAAGTATAAGGAATGTAAATTCGGAATGTTACAGATTGTTTCCATTCAACAGCCTTAATGGAATGTAAATAAAATAGTGAATAGTTGTAACATAACATCGGCCAATGTAAAAAGTGAGTAATATTGGCATGTTCTATACCTGAAATAGATATTTTCATAAAATGTTGATATACAGGGTGGACCATTTTGATCTATTATGGATAAAAGTTCTTTCCGGAAGCCGCTAACAAAAAAATGGTTCCAGCAAAAGTTGAAGGATTCAATGGGGACCAAAGAATGACCCTACTCACAACCCCCCCAGGGCTCCCATACAGCCCTGGGAGATGAAATGTTTTTTAGGAACCCTATTTTTTCACAACGGATTCTTGTTCTACAGAGAAAAACAAATAAAAAATGTCTTCAGCAAATTCTTTCTTGAGCCCCTTAAAGGGCCCCAAAATTTTAAATGTTGGTATTTGAGTTGAAGAAAACAAAGAATCTTCATTGGCATGTGATTCGTTAACCAGATTGAGGGTTTGCTTAGAAACATAGTAATATGCTGGAACTGCACTTATGTTATCGTATTTAAAGCATAGGTTTGACCTGAGCCTAAAAGTTATTGCAACTCAAATACCAAAATTGAAAATTTGGGGCCCTTTAAGGGGCCCAAAAAAGAATTTGCTAGACATTTTTGATTTGTTTTTCTCTGTAGAACAAGAATCCGTTGTGAAAAAATAGGGTTCCCATTGAAAAAAAAAACATCATCTCCCAGGGCCGTATGGGGGCCCTGGGAGGGGGGTTGTGAGTAGTGTCATTCTTTGGCACCCGTTGAATCCTTCAACTTTTGTTTGAACCATTTTTTTGTTAGCGGCTTCCGGAAAGAACTATCATCCATAATAGATCTAAAATGGTCCACCCTGTATTATTGAATGTGGCAGGTGGCAGAAAGTATCACTGAAAAAAATCTAAACTGGCCATTGTTATGTTGAACACACAATTCACACTTAGTGATTGTTCTGTTACAGTTATTCGATAATATAGAGGACATTTGATAAGAAAAAATTTCCCGTGGTTTTCAAGAACCTCCATATATGCCAAATTACAAAATATTTTAGACCACATTGTTCTAGTTTAGTCATAATTCCTAATCTCATTTAAAAGATTATCATTTAAACTAGCTCTAGTGGAAACTTGAGAGAGACGAGAGAGTCGTGTTCGAAAACTTTGATGATGGGCATTTTTGAAGATACTATACTAAACTCAAAATTGTCCACAAAAATCGTAATAATGAACATTTTCGAAAGACAACCGAATTAACTGATGCGAGTCAAAATACATGATTTTTCATGAAGAAATTAGACAAAGTCAACTACATTTGAGATCTTGAATCAAAATACATATGAACTCTGCTTCCTTATACAATCCAAACAGCTGTCAAAACAATAACTGCAAATTTGAAGCAATAATTCAAATCATTTCTCTGAATTTCATGTGAATTTCTTTCCTCATTTATACAAATAAAAATATGAGTATAATTTCAATGTGAATGTTATTGTTAGAAATCCTAAGAGAAAAAATCTATCGATAGTCAGTGACAGTGACAATAATTTTTTTCAAATAAGTCTCAAACCCCGAGAAAATCTGGCGGGCGATCAGTTAACTATCCAAAAGGAACTTAATGCAGATGATTCTCACTTAAAATTTCCCTAGAACATGAATTATTTTCGGAATCTTTTCAATTCACGAATTTTCATGAAAATTACAATAGTCATATCTTCAAAAGTCTAGTATTTTTGACTCACATCTCATCCGACTTTGGAGTACAATATCACTATTTATTCTTAGCCTATAGGAAAATGGTGGAATGTAAAAGTGATTTAATCATCCTTATTTGAATATTGATTTATCGGAAAATGAGTATTTTAAGTTACGTTCTTAGTTGTACATACTTTAAAGCATAGATTTTTGTCTAAAGCAACTATATCAGGAAAGTTGAAAATATCAGGTTATGGTATTTTGATGGAGGTGATAAAATAATTTGTACAGTTACTCATAGTCATTCACTAATCAAACTGGAGTTTCTTCATTCTGCTCCTCGATCCTGTACAAAAAAGAAATTAAATAGATGAATTTCGGTTCAAAAATAACACTTTGCGTCTTACCATTTCGAATCTCAGTAAATTATTTGTTGTTAGTTGTATATTCCCAACACCATCTACAGAAAATTAAATAGTTGTGTTAATATGATTGTGAGCAATAACAAGTAATGAATATAAACCACAACACCTTGATGAGAGTGACAGGTCACATGTGGATCAAAAGAATGGTTGAAAACCTGATTTCCCGATCCGGAACCATTTTATGAAGTAGAAATACAATCAGTTCCAAAAAAAGTGACGCACTTGATATTTGACCTATCTTCTTAAAAAAAAAATAGTAGGCGATTTTTATTTTTTTTTGTTGGTAGGTAATGCATTTGTCTTTAAAAAAATAAAGAGGTGCAAACTTTTTCAAAGCCTCCTTGATGGTGGTGGAATAACTCGAACCATGATTTATTCTTAATTTTTGACTCACCCTGTGTGTTAATTGAGTAATGGTATACAAAGTGCTTACAGCCTATACGGAAGAGGCTTCTTTTGCGAGCATTTTGTTTATTTATTCATTGATTTATCTCAAAAATTTTCCGAATTACAGCATTTTTGCTGATACCTTACGCTTATCCCACAAATTAAAATTGAAGGATCAGAGTACTCAAAATTGATTGGGTTGTACTCTGGTAGGATCACATTGTCTTTAAAAAACAAATGCCGTTGCCATAGCAACTAATTTGTTGTATGCCTCCATATTTGACCTTTTGTCGTTGTGTCATTAATCAAGTGTCTTGTTTTATTGACTAAAATTACATAAAATGCCTCAAATAAATCCTGACAAGTAGTAAGATTAGTTGCGTTAGTAAACGATGGGCGTAGTAAACGTTACGCCACTCGTGCAGTGGGGGTTCATGAAGCAACTGCTCGTAGAGCAATCCGCAAGTACGAACAAACAGGAAGCACCGCTTGGAGGGTCGGTTCTGGTCGCCCCCGAAAAACTTCTCCAAGAGATGATCGTTTCTTGAGAATTCGGATTTTACGGAATCGATCAAATACTGCGGTAAATGTTCAGCAAGATCTTCGCCAAATTCGTGATGTTGTAGTAAGTAAGCAGACGGGTATGTAGACGTCTAAAAGAAGTTTATTTAGAAGCTAGGAGACCTGCAAAAGGTCCCAAATTATTGCCCGAACATCGTGCTGCTAGAAGAAATTTTGTTGAAAATTATGGACAGTGGAATATTCCTGAATGGTCGAATGTCTTGTTTACGGATGAGTCAAGGTTTTGCCTTAACATGGTGGATGGAAGAAAAAGAGTGTGGAGAAGCACTGGTGAACGGTTTGATCAAAATTTAATAACAGAATGCGAGAGATTTAATGGTGGGTCAGTTATGGTGTGGGGAGGGATTTCAATTAATGGAAAGACACCCCTTCATGTTTTTCCGGTGAGGCAGTCGATGAATGCCCAAATTTACATTGATATTTTAGAGCAGTATGTCTTACCTTATGCAGAGTTAGTGGGCAATAATTTTTTTATTGATGCAGGATAATGCCCGACCACACACCGCAGCAATAGTGCGAAACTTCTTAGAAGCTACTGGTATTACCACATTACAATGGCCTGCGAGAAGCCCCGATATGAATCCTATAGAACATTTGTGGGATGAATTAGGGAGAAGGTTACGTTCTCGCGAGAGGTCTCCGGAAAGTCTCGCAGAAATGGCAGACGCATTAGTGGAAGAATGGGATCGTATACCAATGGACACGATAAGCAACTTAATTTCCAGTATGCCTCGTAGATTAGAAGTTCTTAGAGTTGCTAGAGGAGGCAATACACGGTATTGAGCAGTCATCCCAATTTATAATTTTGTGTTTAATAAAAATGTTTTTTAAAATTATTGTTATCAGTTTATTTAATTAGGAAAGTTTCTCGATAAATTCAGAAAGTTGGTATTCTGCAAGGATTCAGCAAAAAAAGCTGTAATTCGGAAAATTTTAGAGATAAATCGATGAATAAAAAAACAAAATGCTCGCAAAAGAAGCCTCTTCCGTATAGGGTGTAAGCACTTTGTATACCATTACTCAATCAACACACAGGGTGAGTAAAAAATTAAGAATAAATCATGGTTCGAGTTATTCCACCACCATCAAGGGGGCTTTGAAAAAATTTTCACCTCTTTATTTTTTTTAAGACAAATGCATTACCTACCAACAAATAAAAAAAATCGGCCTACTATTTTTTTTTTAAGAAGATAGGTCAAATATCAAGTGCGTCACTTTTTTTGAAACTGAGTGTAGTTGTGAATGGAAATAGGCAGAGATATAACTTTCCTTATTTATGAGGAGTATAATATCACAACTTTTGCCAGCCATCTCATGTATAATGAATGACGGAAAGTTATGAAATACGATCCGAACGATAGTTAACTAAATTTGATGAATCATCCATCCCTTGAATTCAAGTTTGAGTTGGCTGTTATGAAACGCTACCTATGTTGTTTGGAATACGACCATCGAAGCAAAGAGTAACATGAAAAAAGGTATTCATTACAGGAGTTCATCCTCATTTTGAATGCTGTCTGAATATTCTACATTATCAGGATAATATTATTTAGTAAATATAAATATAATGTCCCTGATATATGGGAATTATCCTCACACGACCTCTATTAGCCATGATATGATTTGCTCAATAATTGACTTGAATTTTTATTTTTGGACACTCAGTATACGATTAATAGTAAATATGAATGTCAGTACCTAAGCAAGCTAGAGACTCCGTTCGTTTTCGTGATTAATTGTCATGATGCAACGGACTTTTCCTTAGTATTATCATAGATCTATGGTGTTATTTAACGATCGCGAATTCATCTTCATAGGGATGTTTCGTAACAATAGGCGATTGGACTTTTTTTTTATATCTTAAATAGAATGATCACTCAAATACTTTTCAATATCATATTTTTTTAGATTTGGTCGATTTTTAGGTGCTACCGCGAGTAAAAACTGACGTAACGATTTTGTAAGTATGGGAAGACCATAGCACAGTTGCCATATGTTGAAATACGATTGGAAACTTCAGAAATATTAGTTATTCATACGTTCTCAATTATGTATTGGTAATATTCCTATTCAGCAAATATAAAATCGATTGTCTCAAAATGTTCCCTTATGATTAGTGGCTTATTGCTTATAATACATTTGTGTAAATAGCAATTATATCAATTCACACTAGAGTACATTTGAAGCGGTGAACGTGACAACATGGTGCGCACGACTTGTGGGCGTGATAATGATGGAAATAAGTATGGTGTACTTACTGATGCGCTTTTGTTTAAGAAATTCTTCTCGACCTCTCGAGATTCCCGAGAACAATGTTTTCAGCGGTTTAGGATAGATGGCGACATTGCACAATTATGACATCTGTCAATTTTCAAATTGCCGCAGATTTTGCCATTTCAGAGTTAAATAATCCCACTGTTACATATGTTTCGCGTATCTAAAATGCCATTTGCCATTTTATTTCCACTCGTCACAGCAGCAATAGCAGCATCACCATCTAGCGGAAAAATGTAGAATCAACGTCTCGCTCGATGTGACGTACAGAAATCATAGTAAGCGGTCGAGTGATTTTTCTTGAATTTTCAATATGTAAAAATGGCCGAGTACGTGCACTATCTACTTATTTCCATCATTGGCGTGATCTTGTCCCTTCTCAGCATTCAGCACAATGTTGCCAAGTCTCCAACATTCACATGATATTTTGTTCTGGAGTATGAGAAATATTTGGACAAAAAAGTCAAGAATGAACTATAGTATCATGGGTTCCTCCTATCATGTCTAATTCAACGACAGGACTCTTGCAGCTTCTTGATAACTTGATTATAATTGGTGGCTAGACAACCTTACTTCGTGAGTGGGAATGAAAGATTATCTGACCAAAAATGAAACAGCATATGGCCAAATGATAGCCATTACGGTACGTTCGAAATGAGCTCCGAAATTCAACAATTTCGAACAACAAATACACTCATTATTTACATGAAAAAGGTGTGAGAAGTGTTGCAAAAATTAATTTTTCTACTCACATAACTAAAATGACATTTAGCGTACGGATATGTACCACGCTAAATGATCGATTGATCACGGATTATCGATCTGTGATTTATTCAAAATATTAAACACGTTACCATGGCAACACGATTTCTTAAACACATTACCATGGCAACGCAGTTCATTAAACACAGCTTCAGTAATTTGAGACATGTCTGGCCTGTCAATTGTATCACCTGTCAACTGTTATTTTCGAATTTTGTGTCAGGATTATTCAAACAATATTCGCTTTATTCGTTTGTATCAGAATTCTTCATTAAAAATATATGCGAAAAGTAGACGAAAGTGAAATCGAAGAGAATGTTCTGGTACTTGCATATCTCGAAGAAGTATAAAAATGAAGCATCTATCTTTGAGAACAATTAATTTATTCTGCGCTAAGCATGACAATAAACGTGAAACAAAGGTTAGTGAGCAATGGACGGAACACATCTGCAACCAATATCACTTATACGTGTCTCGCTGGTTGCATGCAGTTGCATGTATTATGTTCTCAATTCCCATTCCTTTCGAATTATTGTGTAGGTTAGCAGGAATTGCAGGTATGTTAATGTAATTTTCGGAGTTCGTAGAAAAATCATAGTATGTAACGCGTTTATAAACTCTTCTAGACACTCGTTTATTAAACACTCGCTCCGCTCTGCTCCGCTCGTGCTTAAACTACTCGTTACTAAAAGGACGTTTATAATACTTGTTACATAATATACTATTAGGTCCCTAACGACACTGAATGTCTTCTGAATTATAAGTCCACTCGCCCATTATAATAGAAATAATAACGGACCTTGTGGTTGTTCGAAGTGGCGAGACTGCCGTCACTCACAACCGACTCTGATTTTTTTATCACTTGGTGCACACGACAGGAAATCCCTATAATGTTCGAAGAACATCGTGCGTGGGG